TAGATGCTGCTCAACCAATAAGTCAAGTTGACCTGCATATACTTTACACAAGAATACAGCAGCAGAAAATGTCGTTGTTTCATATGTAGTCCAAATATTATTTTCCCCTAAAGCACAGTTTAAAAAGTTTGGCCCAATTCTATTCATCACTGTGCTAAGAAAACTTCCCATACAATTGTGGACTAAGATCACAGCACTGATACTGGCGTCCTTCTGTTGGCGGTAGAACTGGACTCCAGTCCCCCCACCCCAGCAGCCATCAGTACTTATGCACTGACAGCTGCCTCCTGCCCCTGCTCTATCACTCATTAGTTCGGTTGTGAGGTGTTGTCAGTTCTAGAGAGAAGGCAGAAAGGGGCAGCATCCCCTCTCTAGGCCTCTCATGCTGCATCATCTATGCCTTTTTGGTCCATTGATATTACAAAGGCCATACAAATTTGTGTCAGCTAGCTATAATACTTTCTTGGGTTCCATGATCACTGCAGATGGTGACAGCAGTCGCGAAATTAAAAGAAGCCTTCTTGGGAGAAAAGCAATGACAAACCTAGACAGCATCTTAAAAAGCAGAGACATCACCTTGCCAACAAAGGTCCGTATAGTTAAAGCTGTGGTTTCCTCAGTAGTGATGTATGGAAGTGAGAGCTGGACCATAAAGAAGGCTGATCGCCAAAGACTTGATGCTTTTGAATTATGGTGCTGGAGGAGAGTCTTGAGAGTCCCATGGACTGCAAGAAGATCAAACCTCTCCATTCTTAAGGAAATCAGCCCTGAGTGCTCACTGGAAGGACAGATCCTGAAGCTGAGGCTCCAATACTTTGGCCGCCTCATGAGAAGAGAAGACTCCCTGGAAAAGACCCTGATGTTGGGAAAGATGGAGGGCACAAGGAGAAGGGAACGACAGAGGACGAGATGGTTGGACAGTGTTCTCGAAGCTACCAGCATGAGTTTGACCAAACTGCGGGAGGCAGTGGAAGACAGGAGTGCCTGGCGTGCTCTGGTCCATGGGGTCACGAAGAGTCGGACATGACTAAATGACTAAACAACAACAAGAAGAAGCTATAATAGTAAGGACGTGGGCTTCTTGAATTCTGTACAACTCAGAAGTGAGCAATTTATATTAAGTTGTGGCAGATCAACTCAGCAGAGTTGCATTGTATTCTACAACCTGCTCCTTTTACAGTGTTTGATCTGATTTGCGTGACGTGGTAACCAAACCATTATTTAATGAGACTACATAAATATGCAGGTTGCCAGAGAGGAGCTCATGTTTTGGCTCAGCATCTTCCATACTAGGGTTCCTGGTTAAGCTCTTGCCTCACTAACCTCAAGCTGTAGTTAAGGGAGTCTGCATATTTGCATTATCTGGCCAAGCTATACTTTGGCTTACCATGCCATGCAAAACTGCCCTTTGTCTATCCTCCCCCTTTTGGAGAAGGATGTATTTTGGCCTATGTTCACTTATAGTAGTGTGATTCGTTCCAAATGCTACATATGGTATTAAGAGCATAAAAAATAATATTCTAAAATTATTTGAGTTGGCTTCTCTGTCTTTGAACACATTTTTTTTCTGTGAATCCCATTTTGAAGGGATCACGGAGGCTTCATTTCCTTGGGAGAAATAAATGACAAAGAATAGTTGGGAATGGAAACAAATGAGAAATCAATACGCCAATTAATTCAGACATGCTGTATAGCATTTTAGCTCATAGGTTAAGGCTCTAGTACAAGGACCACTTAGCATAGTGCTGCTTATTTGAGAACCAAGGGCATGGGGAGCTGCAGTTCTTGTCCAGCGTAAGTGGCTTGTAAATTACAGCCAATGGGCTGGATCAACAGAATATTGTATAGTGTAGTTATGTTCATCTACCTGTGAGTGTGTATGGGGTTTATTTTTTAATTTTTATGGGGGGGGGAGAATAAATTTGGCATTGGTGGATAATTGAGTGATGAATTCCATAAAAACAATAATGCTTCTACAAGGCACTAAATGCTCAACAAATGCTGCTTTTAATATTATGGGGAAACATGATTGCTGGTTGCCGGTTGACATAAGGTTCCGCAATGGGGGGAGTTTTGATATGTAAAACGTTCGCTTCTACTGGACAAAAATTGGCAATAAAGAGCAGAAGATCTTTGTTGCTTATTTTACAGCATATCTTAATGATAAAGCAAGGGTTTTTAGTGTCAAAGAACAATCCCTACGCATTCCTCTTGCCCTTTCCTTTAAAACTTTTAATTGCTTCTATGTGGCAAAATAAAATATAAAACACTTGGACAAGCGTTGTCACCGATGCCTGCAAATTATATTTCTTTCCTTCCATTATTTTCAAAAGCCAAGGGATGCGTTAACAGTCGCTTGGAAGAGATATCACAACACCAGTTAGAACTGCAGCAGGGATGCTCCAATATCACAGTTGGATCCGCCAGCTCCAGATTAAAATGGCACCTCCTTGTCATTAGTGGGAATAAGCCAAATAAATGACTTGCACCGTTATGTTTATAGGGTTATGGGGTGAAATTACTGCTACATTTCTTTCCACTGAATATTTTCAGGGAAGGGAGTAGCATTACTGAGCCCGGCTGCGGCTGGGGAAGGCAGGATATAAATAATTTATTATTATTATTATTATTATTATTATTATTATTATTGTTAATTTCTCCAGCCGTCTAGTTGACCACTTTGAAAACAGGAGGCAGGACTAGATGGACCATTGGCCTGATCCAGCAGGCTCGTCTTATATTCTTACTCGGCCAAATCACTAGAATGGATCGTGGAAGCTGAAACAGGCATCTTCGTTTCAGTAGGATCCAGCAAGCTGGAGCTCTTAGTGCTGAACCCTATTTTCTCTACGTCAGCCCTGAAAGTGGAGCAGCATTTTTGACTCCATTCTCGGTTTTTTGTATTTAAAAAAAAGCTTGCTTCATTGTGGGAGGCGATCTTCCTATGATAAATAGTGTAGGTGGCACTGCCATTAGCTTCTCTGCGTAGGGCTCTTCCTTTAGCTTATTGGCCCACTGAAGCAGTGATGGAATACCATGGGGCAGTGCCCCCACGGATGCTCCACTTGCCCTGGCAAGTGTTCTGCTGCCATGTGAGCCTGATAAACAAGGCTTTTGGTGTTGGACCGGCAGTAGTGCAGGGGGGGGGCAGCACCTTCCCATTTCAGCTGAGACAGTGAAATAGGGTGGGGGCACCTCTGCTTATGGCAGCAGCGTTGCAATTCACAGCCTGCCATAGTCACAGCCTGTTATAAAGGTAAAGGTAAAGGTACCCCTGCCCGTACGGGCCAGTCTTGACAGACTCTGGGGTTGTGCGCCCATCTCACTCAAGAGGCCAGGGGCCAGCGCTGTCCACAGACACTTCCGGGTCACGTGGCCAGCGTGACAAGCTGCATCTGGCGAGCCAGCGCAGCACACGGAAACGCCGTTTACCTTCCCGCTAGTAAGCGGTCCCTATTTATCTACTTGCACCCGGGAGTGCTTTCGAACTGCTAGGTTGGCAGGCGCTGGGACCGAGCGACAGGAGCGCACCCCGCCGCGGGGATTCGAACCGCCAACCTTTCGATCGGCAAGTCCTAGGCGCTGAGGCTTTAACCCACAGCGCCACCCGTGTTACAGCCATGTCATTCCAGAGGCATTTTTCTTCTCACTCTCAATAATCTCTGGCTGCAGCATCATTCAAACAGTCCCCTGAACCACTGGCTGTAGTTCCATCATTACAATTTCTAGATCAGGTCTAATGCTCTGGAAAACAACAGGACCCCTGGATCCATTCTAGAAATGGTTTCAGCCCTGGCAAAAGTCAACGTTCTGGCACACAGTCAGCTGTGGCACTTGCTTAATTCTGGGACAAGCAGATCAAGGCAAAAGTTAGCTCAAGTCCGTATGCTTTTTCACATTTCTATAAGGTACTTGAAGAATGCATCGTAGGAAAGAAGAAAGGCTGGGAAAGTGGTTGTTTCAATGTCCTCCAGCACTGGTGATCAATTGGCTAAACTTCATTCACTGGAAGAAGTTCCTATCAGGAGCACAGGGTGACATCAAACATCAGAGTAGCTGAAGCCCATTGATTTCAATGGGTCAGCTTTGAATATGAGTTGGTTGGACATGGCTTCTTGTGTACAATAATTACCAGAACTAACACGAGCACAACAGTGCACAGTCGTGCAAAATGGTAGGGAAGAGCTGAGAAGCTTACATAGGCCCTTGAACTGTCCATTACTCCCTAAAGAGGGCATCCTCATGCTGTTATAATTATGGCACAGCATACACAAATTGCAAATCATTTTACTTCATGCTGATCCCAATGAGATTAAGTGAATTGCATGCTTGTCTCCATCCGATTTTGTTGTGCTTGATACCCTCTTCAGAGGTAATTCATAACACACAGGGAAAATAGGCAATGTTTATATGAGTTCTGTTTTGTTGGAAGTGGGGTTTTGCTCACTGATCACTTACCTGAATCTAGTTTCTCTAGGTGCATTATTGTTTAAAGCGAACAATTTATTTTAAGCTGTGGCGGATCACCAAAGTCTTGCTGTACTCAAGCCATGTAATAGCTATCTAGTTCCAGAAATACAGGCGCAGGAAGGAATTTGGAAGGCAAGCAAAGGAATCAGTAATAAATTCAATGGGTCAAAGTAGAAACGAGGGCAATGAAGAAGCGATAGATCATATGAAAGGAGGAAGACCTCAACATATCTCATAAGCAGTCTACCACACAAATGCCAGTATGATATCATAAACCAAGTCAATGACTGTTTTCAGAGGGCAGAAGCCATAGAACTTTTAGTTACATGATTTTTTTTTGGGGGGGGGGGAATGACCAAAGATAAATATTGTTAAGTTTCATTGAATCCCCATAGCAAACTGCCAAAGATAAATATTGTTAAGTTTCATTGATTTCAATGCAAATAGTACAGTCATACCTCGGGTTGAATGTGCTTCGGGTTGAGCGCGTTCGAGTTGTGCTCCGCGGCAACCCAGAAGTAATGGAGCGCGTTACTTCTGGGTTTTGCCACTCGCGCATGTGCAGACGCTCAAAATGACATCACACACATGCGTGGAAGCGGCAAAATGCGACCTGCAGACGCGCTGTCACGGCTTACGTTGCGTTCAGGATGCAAATGGGGCTCCGGAACAGATCCCATTCGCATCCCGAGGTACCACTGTAGTTTAATTCTCTCCAGATACTATCATTGGCTTCCACCTGTATTTGGAAGCATTGTTGAATTTTTGAGGATGAGGATTCCTGTCTACATTTGGTTATATTAAACACTTAGGTTATATATCTGTACGAATTTAGATTTGCCATGCTTAATGATTCATAGGGTGAAGGATGAAAATTTAAAGCCAATTTTCCTAAGGAAATTGGTTTAAGAGACTTTCAGACCCCTGAAACGTTGGCCTGTAGATGTATTGTCTGCACTATTTTCATAACACACTTGTTTTGTAACAAGATAGAATAACTGTCTTGCATGAATGTGTGGCACAGGGGTAAGATCTTTACCACCCAGGCAGCCCAAGATTTCTGTGAGGTTTGTTTTTTTTTTGGCCAAAGTTAGGAAATCAGTCACTTCTGATCAGATGAGGTACTTTGGTAAAAGAGCATTTTAAGCCGCAAATGATGTTGTTTGTTAATTACACAATTAATTGTCCAGATAAGGCACGGTATTGTGACTGAATCCCCATAGAAAACTAATTCTAGACTATAAAAGTACTGTCCTATAAAATGAGAGTTCTGTTTACATATTTTTATGTAATTGGGGGGAAAGTGTGGCTTTCCCCCTTCTATAACAGAGGTGAGAAGCCTTTGGCCCTACATTTGCTGTTGGATTTCAACTCCCATCAGCCCCAGCCAGCATAGCTTATGGTCAGGGATGATGAGATTTATAGTCCAGCAATATCTGAAGTGCCACAGCTTCACTACTGCCCTCCTATAGAAATGAATGTCTAACTTCCCGTTGAAGGTCATGGAGCTGGATTACATTTTTGTACTTTTTCAAAGAAAGGCTCAGTGCAGTTACCAATGATCAGAATCTAATGTGGTCCACTGAAATGCACAGATTTTCATTGGATAGAGTGTTTGCAGGATCTGTTGCTAGGCAATAACTAGCTTGGTTTTCATACTTATGTTAGCAATTCAGGGGTGTGTTTTGTTATTTCTTTGTTTTTGCAATGATAGCTCACGTTGTTCTTACCAGAGGTCCATGACTTTTAGTACACATATGTGTAGACTCTTCTACATTTCACAGCTTTTAGAAAAATATGAACTGAACTCAAAAACACCTCCCCATCCACAACCCTACATAAGAAGAGAAGGCTGAAGTCTTTTGAGGTTCTTTTTTTAAAAAACAAACAAACAGTAGCATAACCCAAACAAATTAATATTTTGGTCTAAGATAAATATTTCAGAGTATCTTAGGACAGAGTGAAGTGCACTCCTAAATTCTTGAACCAGCCAGCTAGATAATTAGGACTATTGTACATGTTAAGCTACACTCTATCCTTGTGATGGAGTTTTGCTTTCAAAAACTGAATTCATTTAACATATTAGAAACATAGGAGGCTGCTTTTTTACCAAGTCAGACCAATAGTAAGTATCATTTCCCATGACTGGTAATGGTTCTCTAGGGTTTCACATGGGAGTCGGTCCTGTGTAAAACCCTGAAAAGATGCCACATTGAACTTGGGACCTTTTGTATGCAAAATGACCACAATGCTCTACCACTGAGCTGTGGCTCTTCCCTTAATTTTCTTTGCTTCCATGTCAGAACTTCACTTAATTTTGCAATTTTTTTTACAGTGTTTCAAATTAAGTATTCATTCCTTAAAAAAAAATCAAGAAAATTCCATTTCCTATATTTCTCATACTATTGTTTCCAACATGCTCTTGAGACTCATTCTCGCCTTCCCAATTTCAGAAGAAAATGAAGATAAATAGAACAATATGAACTGTGCACCACAGGCAATCATATCCATTTTGGAATTAGCAAAATTAAGGGTACAAATTGACAGAAAAAGGCATTTGATGGTATTGAGAGTACACTTTTGAAAATGCCGTTCTATTCAAAGTTGGTGGATTTTTTTTGACAGAAGTAATACTTAAAACTTTTAAAAAAGAAAATGTAGATATTTTGGCACATTTATACAGGACTCTTGGAAGGGATATGAAGGGCTTCACAATAATGAACAGTTTGCACAACACAAAAAAATGTGACACTTTCAGCAATTTAATGTCTGTGTACCAAAAGTACAAAACACATTTCCAGTTTAAAATCTATTAGTAGTTTTAAAAAATCCCAATATCTCTTAATCCATAATAACTTTTCAAAATGCACTCTTTATTACAACTGAAGCTGCAGTATTTCACTTATTTCCCAAGAAAATCCTGTTTGAACACATAAGGCTTCTGTTGTGCCAATACAGAGGAATGCTTACCAGTGCTGCTACTCCAAAGTGTGTGGAATTCCCTGACTAACAAGCACTTCCCCCCATTCTTATCCAATTCATGAACTCAAAGGATAGCACATACAGATTAGGGCTTTCCAGTGGAATGAATGGGGGCCCTTGAATGTGCAAGGGATAACATGTGAGCTGACATGGAATGGTGATAAGCAGAGCGATTCTATACTCACATTTATGTTGGTCATCTGTTGGTGTGACGTCATCTCCACTGTCAGAGTGGCGTTTTTGCCACTTCCTAAGTCCAGTCAGCTAGCATAACTCAGGTATAGAATTGCACTCTGAGGTACATGAGTTTTATTCTGCACGGGCAGAATAAAACAAAACAGGATGGATCAAGTAGCTTTCCCTCACTCCTAAATATCCATGAAAAAGAAACTCTAATGTATGGAAGAAACTTAATGGTAGCCTGCAATTAATCACATCCTCCTAGTGCTATTATATAGTGAACCGTACACCCAATCAGCTACAATCTGCTACACTACCATAAACAAGCTAAGCCTTATCAAGATTCAAGTACGTTATTCTAGAAATAATTTCCTGCAGTGTTCGACCAGTCAGATTAATTTCACAACTTGTATTAAAGGGGTGCTACATTAGTAACACCAACACCTCTATATTCATGAGAAGCAAATGTTTAGGTTTCAATTCAATCATACATTTTTTTAAAAAAAACCTCAAATTAAAACCAAGACAAAAATATTATAAATCCCATGAAACGAATACCAGTGGCTTTTCAATGAACATCATAGATAGTCCACACCAATAAACATTTGCTCCCAGAATGTATTTAAAAGTTGGTGGGAATAATGTATGAATGAGTACTTGTCTTCAGCCTTCTTGCCTGAATGCTACATAGCAATTGGTAACCCAGGAAAAAAACACACCAGCAAATCCTCCATTATGTAGGAACAATAAATAAACATTTGTTATACAATAGTGTCTGGTGTACTTAGCAAAATAATAATAATAATCTCATACTTGAAATGAATATTTTATTTTGTTGTTGTTTTTTTCAGGCAAAGGTGTAAATAAAATCTTCTCTTTCTCTGATGACAAAGCGTAAGGTGACCTTTACTCTGTGCGATGACACTGGCCAGGTCCTTATCTTCCACATGTTCTCCATCCCTAAGAAGTGTGAAAACACAGTTTCCTTCACCATTTCTAGAGATAGAGGTATCCAACCCAGTACACCAAGTTAAACAGCAGGAATGATGTAGGGAAGAAGACCCTTGAATAAGAGTCTAGTTCTAAGATGTCTATGTGTATCCTTCCTTTCCGCCATGAACCGGATTTACATTCTTCGTAACAGCAGAAAAAGCTCTGGCAGTCCTTCCCATCCAGACATTCATAGATACAATTGTCTTCAAATTCTTGCCAGTACATGGCATTATTCAATGCGATGACTGTAGGAGGAGGCCTCATCTCTAGCACAGAATAGTTCTAGGGGGGGAAAGAGAGGACAGAAGAGATAGTACCTGGGCTACTAGAGGGACATCAGAGTTTTGGCATGCAGATACTTTGGGCTGGTCTAGACAAGCAGAGAAATCGTGGAGTGCGGACATCCCCCTAGGACTGTACCACTTCAGCATTCAGGAAGGAATGGTACAGCTTAACTGTACCATGTCCATAGCTTTCATTGATAAACTCTGCATGGTGAAAAGCTGCACAGCAGGCTAGCGCCGAATACTAACAACTAAAATCTTAAGGTTAATAGACACATTCTTTTTGTTGAATCAAAACCTGTGTTTTTGTATTAAGGCAAAGTATAAAGAAGCATAAAGGTGAAGCATTTATTTACTTCAGTTTTATTTCAATTTGCATTCATAAAGCTCAGGGGAAGAAGAAAGCAGAAGAAAGTATTTTCATTCATGGCAACATTTTAGGCTGTATTAATTTTTGTAAAAGAGGTTTAAAAACCGTACTTACCATCATGTGCCCGAAACTGACATCAGGTAGCTCAAGTAAAAGAAATCAGAGAATAAGAAGAAAAACTCAGAAGAAATGACATGACTAGAATACACATCATATGGTGTAAACGTTTATACGTTTTTGCCAGTTTCTCAAATATTAACGAGGAGGGAAGTTTCGATATAGAATGTGAGGATCTTAGTCTAAGATCCTCACATTCTGTATCGAAACTGAATTGTCCATATCCTGTCTGTGGGCAAGATCCAGCCCAAAATAACCCCTTTTCACTTCCATAGGTTTCAACGGGAAGCAATAAAATGTGAGCTTAATTTAAAATCAATGGGATTCACGGGTCATGAATCAGGCTGTTATGTTTAATGACATGGGGGTGCTCCCCATGATTCATCCATGGCATTAAAACATTAAAGAATATATATATATATATATATCACTACTTCAGAGAAGGATGAATACATCACTGAGCTACTTGAAACTTTTACATATTAATGTCCTGCCTGGAGGCAAAGGCACATATTAACCCTTCCCCTGTTGCTTAGAGAAAAAAAGATCACAATACCTTTTTATTTGTAAATATATATATATAAAGCCAAGGCTACAAAACTCTGGGAATTGTAAAATTTCAATATGGTCTGTGTAAAGTAGAAGAGAGAGCTTCTATGCTCTTGTGAATAGAAAAATTGCCGCATTTGATGCCCGCCCAGATGCTCTGGACTACAACTCTCATCCACACCAGTCAACATGGCCAAGGGAGGATAGGAGTTGTAGAACAAAACATCTGGAGGGAAAGTCTGTTCTACTGTGTTGCAATCCATATTCCAATTCTTCTCTTGGGCCACTTTCACACCTTTGAAAGAGCTGTGGTGCCACTTAAAGCAGACATGGATTCCCCCCAAAGAATTTTGGGGACTGTAGTTTCCTAAAGGTCTTGAGAGTTGTTAGGAGACCTCTGTTTGCCTCACAGAGCTACACTTCTCCAGTGTTCCCCAGAAAGAGGTATTGACTGTTAAACCACTCTGGGAATTGCGCAAGTTGTTATTATACCGACAAGTGGAGCAACACTTCCATGCCAACCTTCTGCCCTGGTTTCTAATGTTCAGTGATGCTCATGGTTGTGTCACAGCACACTCACTGGTGCAAATGAAATTTAATGTGACCTGCTAGCACATCAGCCAAAAAGCCACATTTCCATAACGCAACAGGTTAAAGGAACATTGGAAAACAGCACAGAAACACTATCATAATAATTTGGAAAATTGCATATTTCCTGCATCTGAATATTTCCTGCATGTTGCAGAGGAGTGAAAACGTTGGATACCACTCAACATCTGTTAATTCAGAAGTTTGGTTCCCCACTTCCCCCACCTCATCTTACCGACTTTTTCTTCTTTGTGCAGTGTGGCTTCCTGCAACTCGAGTAGTAGTTGAGGGTGGCATATTCCATCAGAGCGGCAAACACAAATAAGAAGCACACAGTCACAAAGAGGTCCATGGCAGTGACGTAGGACACACGGGGTAAGGAGTTTCTTGCAATGGTGCTGAGAGTGGTCATGGTTAATACGGTGGTGATACCTGCAAAGGAAAGCATGTCTTTTCATGTTTTTGAAAGGAAAACACACCCAGATGCAGAACAGAACTGTGATTCAATTATCGTTCCCTCTTTGAAGGAAGATGACTTCATTCTTCATGGGCTTCACAAGTCGCAATATAGTTTGGTAGGACTTCTTTTTGTGTGTGTGTAAAGAAAAGAAAAGCAGATCAGTGTGCAGCCAAAACAGAACAGAATGGAGGGATTTGCCCCCTTTTATTTAAACAATCAGTGCCACTTGTAAGCAAAGGTCATTTTTTGACTGGCTTTCCAATCAATCTGCGCAGTCTAAATTGTGCGGCTGGATTACAAACGATCGATTGCTATTACTGTTGATTTATCAGTCGCTGCCTAAGCCACCATCTCAAGGCGATTTGCACATAAGATAATTAGAAACAGTTAAAAATCATGAAACAGCAAATATATTTAAACAAGCCTAAAACTAGAACAAGTGGACGCTCATAGCAAAGGCTCGTTTATTTAGCTTGGGAAGCCTGTCAACTTGGGGAAAGTGTCTTCAATTGTTTCCAGACAGTACAAATAGTGGCCCCCACAGATATCTCAACAGCAGTGGTATTCAACAGAAGAGGGGGAGGCACAGAAAAAGCAGGTTTCTGAGCTCTTGTGGTTCCACTGGAAAAACTGTTTGTTCCAATGGGTGGGTGCTACACTGTTACTAAAACAGAAAAAGAGCAACAGGTGGTTTTCTGGTGGAAAGCCTCAGCAGATCAGGTACATCCTACATGTCTTATGTTGCTTGCTTCTGGCATATGTCGAAGATCTCAAGGTATCATATACTGTAGAATTATACCTTCATCAAATCATTTGAGAGCTCCAGATAAAATGAATTATTTTCCATTTCTCTCCCCCACTCCTTATCCACTTTCTGATTATCTTCATTATTTCATCGTAAAACGTACCACATACTAAGACCTTTGCTGAAGGGGATAAAGCCCTCTCTTCATACCACCAAGAGCAGCTGCCAAGAGCACTGGTATTTTCACTAATTAATTTCACTGAGCGAAATTTCTCTCTGATGTATCTCAACTGAGGTTAATAGGAGTTACACCCAGGGAGCTTTTGGCCCACTGAGACTCTCTATTCATTCTGTCTAATTAACATTAATGATATAGAGGCATAAGGATGTTTTCAGCAGGTAGCCTTTGGCTGTATTGTAAACAAATGTATTTTTGGAATCAGGCACTCTTTACTATTTCGCCTGGGAGGGTTTCCACTTCCAGACTTAAATAAGTGCCCAACTATGAAACAAACAGAACTGATGGCTGTCCTATAAAAAAAGCTCGCCTGAAACTGACCACAGTGGAGTAGTGGATGGGTGCTTGAATAGAAGACCTTTAGACTGCCATTCTATCCCTATTTGCCCAGGAATAAGCTCCACTGAACTTAATGGGACTTACTTTTGAGTGGGTATGTACAGGATTACACCACATAGGTGTTGTGCTTAGAGTATTGGACTCAAACAGTGGCTTCCCAAGTGGGCAGTACTGCCCCCTGGGGGTGGTGGGATTACTTAGGGGAGCACTGAAAGCCAAGGGGGAGATGACTATTAGACTTCAAAAAACTGGAATCACTGGTTCAAGTTCACCAGGTTTGTGGAATTCATCAAACGAAATAGTTTCAACTGGATTTTGAGCAAATATGCAAATAATTGCTACTGTTTTGAATGTTCTTGTTTTATTATCTTCCTTAGTGGTTCATTCCGTTCGCCATTTTGAATAATGCTTTTTATAGGCAGGTTAGGGGGCATTGGGGATGAGTTTATGGAGCCAAGGGGGTGCTGCCTTGAAAAAATTTGGGAACCACTGGTCTAGCGCTAGGACTAGAACTAGGCAGACCAGGGTTCAGATCCCCATTCAGCTGTGGAACTCACCACATGACCTTGGGCCAAGAACAGTCTCTCAGCCTAGGTTACCTCACATGGTTCTTGTGAGGATAACAAGGGAAGAAAGAGAACCATGTGTGCCATCTTGACATGCTTGGGAAAAAGTTGGGATATAAATACAATAATCAATACATACATAGAAGATCTGATTCATCCCTATCTGTCAGTTTCATGTAGATGTGTTTTTGGCTACTGATACTAATTGGTTAGTGTGCCATCCCACAGATCCCGGGATCCATGTTGTTCTCACTCTTGTTTTACAGATGGGGAATAAAGATACAGTGACTTGATTCAGGCCACACACAGGAAAGGATGCCTCAAGTGATTAGTTAAGGGCACATCCAAGCATGAGGACCCCTGATCAAATGCTTCAGAGCAGGACTGGGGTGAACACAACCCTGTCCACAGCTGATCTCAGTAGGGCGAGCAGGACTGTGTTCACCCTGATCCTGCAACCCACCCTAGCAACCTCCCCTTTCCTACAGTCTTGAGGCAGGGGGAAGGCAAGACAGCACTTCAACACTTCAAGCTGGATTCAGACATTCCCCTGAACATGCAAAAGACAGAACTGGAGATGGGAAGGGGTGTGCATGCAAGCCTCGCCTGCAATGTTTTCAAGATGCTGTCTGGATTTTTGCACGAAGGGTTCGTAGATCAGTGTTGAAGTTTGCAATTCATTATGTGGTGACCCTATTTCAATCCAGGTTTCAAATCTCATCTATTGACTCAGGTCAACAGGACAAGAAGGGTGCACATTTCCTTACAAAAAGATGCCCAAGACCTAATGGCTAACATATCTGCTGTTGGATGAGGATGAGATCTTGATAACCAGGACGTTACCCTGTCCCACAAATCTGCTGCAGATATCTCTCCCGGGGCAGCCTTGAATTTTGATTTGCACCTCTGCAGCCAAATATCTCCTAACCTCCTCATTTCCCCTTGACCATTCAAATGTTTAAAAGATAATAGTATCCTCTGATTAAGCTTCTAACCCATGTCTCCCTTTGATCAGACTGATAACAGAGGTTTGCAGTGATAAGCAAGCTGCTTGTGGACAGCCAGGGCCAGAGGGCTTTGCTGCCTGCTAAAAACCACTTGACATTTACACGATCTTTGTTCTTCCATAGAAAATCGAGCATTGTGAAAATCTAATTCAAGAGCATGCTCTGTCATCATTTCATCACACTTTTGATAGAGAAATATTATTCACAGCTGTGCCCAATCATTTCTCATTTCCACAACTATGCCTAATCTAAAGGGGGTAGATGGGCACACACAGACATTTAGCAATGCCCAGTGGGTTTTTTCAGGGGGGGGATGAAGGGGTACGCATACCCCTAAACATTTTATGAATCCAAGTTTGGCCTCATAGTGGGGCAGTATTTCAATATGAGTAGGACAATGAAAGTACCCCTAAACATTTTTTTTGGGGGGGGGGAGCACTGGCAATGCCTGTTTCTCATCCCCCCTCTTCAATACTACAGTAGTGGCAATAGCAAAGCTTTAATATTTGTCCCTCGATAGTGTTACACAACTCTTCCACTTTTTCTATCTGTGAAACATGCTTTATATGGAGCATAAGCATGCAATTCTGTACATAATTACCCAGAAGTAAGCCAATATGACATGCATATCTGTGCTGAACTGTGGGTTTGTGGCATTTTCTGCTTATGTATTACACTAGCAGCCCTTGGAAAATCAGTGTCTTTGATGGGGGTAGATAACCAGAATTCCTCCAGAAATTGTTGGACTACAGTTCCCGTCACTCCTGCCCATTGGTCATACTGGCAGGGGCTGATGGGCATCGTTGTTTAGCATCATCTGGAACGCCACAAGTTCTGCTTCTTCACCTTGAAATAAAACCCATGACATACACTCCAGATGTTATACTTTTGATGCTATCCGATGGCTGCATTTTTAAATCTGTTCCTCCTGTGTGATTTTTTTTTATTACCCTTTGATCCTTTGTATATTATGAATGACAGCTCCCATCACCCCTGACTATAGCCCAGTGGACATCTGAAGATCACATATGAAGTCACCCCGATTTACTGTTTTGCAGATAAGATGCAGCCACAGGGAGGCAGAGTCTCCATCTGCATATATTGGCTTTTCTAATAAGTGGGGGAAATTGTTCATGTGGGATATTAGTGTTATCTGGAAGAAATCATCCCCCAACAACAAATGCTCCTTCCGCAGGAAGGAGAGGCAAGCATGAGCAGCAGGAGGAGAAACTGGGAACTGTGGGGGGGGGGGCTTACTGGATGATTGCAGTTGAGCTAGACATTGGTAAAAGGTAAAGGTAAAGGGATCCCTGACCGTTAGGTCCAGTTGTGACCGACTCTGGGGTTGCGGCACTCATCTCGCTTTATTGGCCGAGGGAGCCGGCGTACAGCTTCCGGGTCATGTGGCCAGCATGACTAAGCCGCTTCTGGTGAACCAGAGCAGCGCACGGAAACGCCGTTTACCTTCCCGCTGGAGCGGTACCTATTTATCTACTTGCACTTTGACGTGCTTTTGAACTGCTAGGTTGGCAGGAGCAGGGACCGAGCAACGGGAGCTCACCCCGTCACAGGGATTCAAACTGCTGACCTTCTGATTGGCAAGCTCTAGGCTCTGTGGTTTAACCCACCCTTAGACATTGGTAGAGCAGATGAAAGATTTGGTAAGCCAGCTACAGGGCTTGTGAACTGCCATGAGTGGTTGCATAATACACAGAACTCTGTGTATGCATAGTGGTGCTTTCTGGCCATGTGAAAGGGCAATTGGTTTGGGACCAATTGGTTTGGGATTTGTCCAGAATCAAAATTGTGTCTGCTTGTGGCTCCGGTTTCTCACAGTTACCCAAATGCAGTAACTACTCTGCCATCGCTGTTCATGAAAAGGAGCTCTGAGTCAGCCCAGAGTCCTCCTTCTACTGCCCCTAATAACTTCGCGCTACAACAATGGTAGTGCTTTTCACAGCGCGACCTCTTCAGCAAAGTAATAAAGGGCACCAGGATTCCTTTCCAGTCTGCTTGATCTCCCTCACCATGACCAATCTCTTGGGGTTGGTTCACTTTGATTTCTCATTGTTTGATGACTCACAGCTGAGTAGATGAATTGAAAAAACCTCATTCATTGTGCTTTGAGGTGAGATGCAGTATTTGAAAGTTCTGCCTGTCGTGTTGGATCTACCGCCATGCCCCATTCATTCACATCTGCCTGTGTGGACTTGTTCTTAGAACACTGCATTCAGGATACCTTGCGATGGTAATCTTAGCAGCTTGGATTAACAACCCTGACAATGTCATATCATAAGGAGGAGACTGCACCTATACATTTGCATACCACAACAAATCCAAACTAGAGGTGTGCCCTATCTGTGGGCAAAGAAATTGTGGGGATGTTTTTACCAATGGAGGATTTCCCTAGAGGGAGAAGAAATTCTCCAAGATTTTCTTGCGGGGTGTGTGTGTGTTTGAACTCACCATTAGTAGTGACAGTACTTCATTTTCTTCTAAGGTTTGGGTTTGGGGTTTGTGTCAGTGTGACCATCATTTTGCTCGTCCCACGATACTTTGAACTAGGTCTGGCACCAGCACTGGGCCAGACTGGTCCCTGGTCAAGGTACCTGTGTGCCTGAATGGTCCCTTCACTGACCCAGCCTGGACACACTGTCATTCATTGCCTATCTGATAGGAGTCTGGGTGCTTTACAGCAGCAGCAGGTGGTGGTGCCACTTTTGAAGCTCAGCTCCCACCTGTGGTGGCTGCCTGCCATTTTAAGTTACCCAAAATGCAATGCCCTGGCCCATAGATGTATGAAATTTATCAACTGATTGTATCTATAGCCCAGGGAACTGGTGTGGGGCAGTGAAAGCAGTAGCAGTGCTAGAGAAATCGTGTAGCGATCACCCAGAGTTCCCAGTCATATACCCATTCATTGTTGTATGAGAATTCTTAGGGTGCTTCAAAAACAATGAGAAAGATAGAGTTTGCAATCTAAGAAACCCTGTTCTAATCTGCACTTTACTATTACATCCCTATTTTACCACTTTAAAAAGTCCTGGAAACGGCGGTTTGTTAAGGGTGCTGAGAGTTTTTAGGAAGACTCCCCTCACAAAGCTACAATCCCCAGAGTTCCCTAGGAAGAGGGATTGATGGTTAAACTACTCAGGCAGGAACAGAATGTCCAAATTTGCAGGATGCAAGCTGTCTCTTTCTCCCCCCGCCCCACTTCTCAATCTCTCTCTCTCTCTGACATATATATATTTGCCATGAAGCAATTGTTCACTGGAAATTAGATTGAATTTCTCTACTGACAAAGAACATAGGCAGGATTCAAATCCACCGTGACACACACACACACAAATTCTGAGAACTTACCTAGGGCTGTTCTTGCTGGTGTGGCATCCTTTTTAATCCAAAACGATACCCAGGATAAGACAACTGTTAATATACAGGGAATGTATGTTTGAATAGTGAAGTATCCCATTCTTCTACTTAAATCGAAGTATATAGTCATGACTATATAATCACCTGCAAGAATAAATAGATTGTATAATTTGGTAACTGGCTTGTAGAATCCAGTGGGAGTCTGCTCACATGAAGAAGGAAACAGAGAACATTGCTGCAATGACTTACAATGTTAACATTCATGGGTGACACAGTGCTTTGAATAGATTGGTAAGTCTATGAACTATACCTTTCCTTTTTAACCACGTCTCCAGCGTGTGGTTCACATATTCCCCACCACGATCTGATTGTATTTTACGCACCCTGGTGTCAAATTTACATTCGACTTCTTCAATCCAATCCATCAGGATGGAAGCTGCTTGTGATTTTTCTTTCAGAAAGAAAACCCAACTAGCCCTTGAAAAATCATCCACCAAAATTTGCATAAATCTCGCACCTCCAAGCGATTTGACTGGCATAGGGCCACACACGTCTGTGTGCACAAGTTCAAAGGGTTTCTTGCTTACTCTATCAGATCTAGGATAGTTACATGTCTTAACCTTGGCCTGTTTACAAGCACAACAATCCAGAAAATTTGGACAGGGTTTAATGTTACACTCCTCAGCTAAATCTGGCATCTTGCTTACATACTTAAAGCATATATGAGCTAACCTTCTGTGTAGTAGATGTGCACAACCTGTATGAGGAGCCTTATTTACACACTTAGCTTGCGCTTCACCTGTTGAACATCTACCTGCTGCTAGCTGCTTTTCATCCAGAACAAAAAGCCCATCCTCACAGGGAATTTTAACTAGTTCCTTCCCCTGTTTAGAAATGGTGCACACATCATTTTCAAACTCAACCTTAAAACCACTTTTTACCAGGCATGACACACTCAAAAGTCCATTCTTCATTCCTGGAAGAACAAAAACAGGAAGGTTAGTTTGCAAACAATTAACATAAATTGTGCCTTTAAGGTTCATTTCTCGTTTACTATTGTCTGCTATAGTCACGGTTTTTGCAACTGGCAATGTCTTGCAGTTCCTCAAGCTGCCACTAGATGTCACTGGAACTAAACTGTGACTTGCTCCACTGTCAATTATCCACTTCAAGGTTTGTTGGCTCCTTTTAGGACTCTGTTGTGCTGCCATTGCAGATAGTCCCTTATCAGCACCTGCTCCCCCTCTGGATCGTTGATTCTTGTAGTTCTCACGTCGTCTTCCCCTGTAGCTCCGGAAACTGGCCTTGGACTGTTGAAATTCCTGTTGCTTTTCTGGACACTTTGCTATCAAATGAAACCTGCTGCCACATCGAAAACATGACTTGCTGGCCATAGCAGAAACTTGTGAGGCTTCCTTACAGCTCTGCCTGCTAGTTCCCCCACACTGGGAATTATCTGAACATCCAACCCTTGGGGTATTTGAATTATCAATACGTTTTCGATGATGTTGATATTCTTGCTCACACAATCTACCAGTCACATAATTCATATTCAGCTGGTCCTCTGGCAAAACTTGTAAAGTTAGTACTAAGTTTTCAAACCCTGCATGCAGGCTGCTAAGCAGAGTATAAACTTTAATATTTTCAGGAAAATTCACACCTAGAGATGACAGTCGGTTGAAATACTCAGTCATCTGTGACATGTGTTCAACCACACTATCCCCTGGCTTCAGTTTCAACTCATACAAAGCACGTATAATGTTCACCTTCTCTCCGGGCGTGGCTCTATGGTGAATTCGCCTAAGAGTTTCCCAAATTTCAAATGCAGACCTTAAATTTTCCACATGAGGTAATTGGGAATCGTCTATCGATACCATCAACATGCATCTAGCTTTAGTGTCCATTTTATCATGTTCCCTGTTCTGAGCATGTGCAGCAGCCTGTTGCTCTGCTGTGGCATCTGCTGCAACAGCCACAAACGGCTTTCGCCTCTGGACATAGTCAGTCCACACTTCTTTGGCTTCCAACCAGACTTGAGCCCTCTTAGACCACTGCACGTAATTAGCAGAGTTCAACTTTGTAAAGGGAACCTGGAAATTTTCCACTGCCATTCTTGGGGTCTGCTACTACTCCCTCTGTGTGCCCTTGCTTCTCTTTCCCCTTGGGATTTGTTTTACTCACTTTTCAGACGCCTCCAGCCTCCTCTGAAGCCTTTTAAACTTTTTTTTTCCCTCCGTCTCTTCACTAGCAACCTACCACCGTCCTCTGTTTTTATTAACAAAACAAAAACACAACGGGAGGTCAAGCTAGCCTTTTGCAGCTAATGAAGCTGTAAATCTTCACTTACGCAGCTCTCTCAACTTTCTGCAGCCTCTCAGTTCCTTTAAGAGCTGGATTTACGACCAAGCCGGTCTTCTCTCATCCGAAAGCTGCTTTCACTTTCTCTGCACACAATACAGCTGTAGAAACGTAGAAGGAGCCATAACCTAAGAGAGTCTGTGTACTGGTCCAGTAAACACTTCCGCTGCGCCACCAGCAACAGTTCTCTTTGCAGAGCATTAATTAAGTCCAGTGCAGAGATTCTTGTTGCAGTACAAGCTTCAGAGTCTCAGCAGCAAAGAAATAACGACACAGGGAAGCCTGTCTTTCCAAAGACAGGTTTATTGCAGAAAGATAACAGAAACACCTCCAGAGCTTTCAGACATTTTTGCTTCACGCCCCACAGGCAGAGAAAACAAACACTCTTTATATACTGAGCAACTTAACAACTTAACGAGCTTGACTACTTAAAGTCACATGACATTGCTAACTTGCCAGCGTCTTAGGTTTCACACCCTAACACCCCCTCTCGCTGACAATACAAAAACAAAATTACTTCAGACCCATTTCTTCACAAAAGTTTTCATGCCGCTGAAACCCAAGCGGTTTTGTAAAACCATCAGCTTGATTTTCATGACTGGGACAGTAATTTAATTTAACAATTCCTGCTTTTACCGTTTGACAAACATTTTGAAAGCGGATATCCAAATGTTTTGTACGACCTTTAAACTGCCCATTTTGTGCTAACTTAAGACACGGTTGATTATCACCCCATACCGTGATTGGAGTGATGGCCTTTCATACATCTCTTGTGCCAAGCATTTGTAAAATTCTAGATCTCTACATAACTCAGATAAGGCACAGAACTCAGCTTCTGTTGACGACAAAGCAATCAGGTTCTGTTTCTTGGATCTCCACCCAATCAGAGAGTTACCAAATTTTATTACACAGCCAGACACTGATTTTCTATCCTTTAAATTTGCCCAATCACTATCTGCCCAACAAGTAATCTGTGCTTGTCCTTCAGAAGATAATTCAAGGCAAAAATCTTTGGTGTATTGTAAATATCTTAACACTCTTTGAATTCCTTTCCATGCATTTACACTAGGTTTTGAAGCTTCTCTGCTGAGTAAGTTAACAGCGTAAGCAATATCTGGTCTACTCCATTGCGAAAGATGAAGTAAGCTTCCCAGTGCTGACTGAAAGATTTCAGCACGCTTGAATTCAGCACTATCCTTGAACTCATTGTCTTTTACAAAACCCATTTCCATTGGTGTTCTAACGCCTGCACACTCTGTCATGCCAAACTTTTTCAACATTTGCAATATCTTGCCTTTTTGATTCAGTAGAAAACTGCCATTTTTGGTCCTATCTATCTGAACACCAAGATAGACCTTCACATCACCAAGATTCTTAACTTTGAAGTGTTTATTTAACTCTTTGGCTAGTTTTTTTACTTGCTCTTGTGTCTTTGAAGTATAAATCAGGTCATCTACATAAACAAGCAAAGATTCTTGAGCATCTCCTGAACCTCTGAAATATAAGCAATTGTCAGCCTTGCTCCTGCTAAAACCAATGCCTACCAAAACGTCATTCAAACACTCATTCCAATTATGAGCAGATTGCTTGAGTCCATAAATAGATTTATGTAGTTTCCATACCTGATTTGATTTACCAACTTTCAATCCTGGCGGTAGCTCCATATAGAGCTCTTCAGCCAAGTCTGAATGAAGATAAGCTGTAGAGACATCAAATTGATTCACTTTGAACCCTTTCTGAGCAGCAACTGCTAATAGTGCCCGTAGGGTTTCACTCCTTGAAGTGGGTGCATAGACTTCGGAATAATGTAACCCCTTTCTTTGCGTAAAACCTCGAGCTACAAGCCTTGCTTTGTACTCTGGTTTCCCCATCGCTGTTGTCTTTATCCTGTACACCCACCTACAACTTACTGCCTTGGTACCTTCTGGCAGTTTGGTGATGGAAAACACACCCAGTTCTTTCATAGAATTCAACTCCTTTTGCATGGCCTCACGCCACCTACTGGCCTCCTCCTGGGGTAATTGCTCAACCTCCTCAAAACTTTCAGGTTCGCAATTTGCCAAACCAGCCCAAACACTAATAGCTTGGTACCTTTCAGGAGGTTTACCTTTATTGGTACGCTTGGAACGCCTTAACAGTTCCTGCGATGTTCCTTCAGTTTCCCCCTCTGACCCAGAATCACTAGTCGTCACCTGTTTGTCACTAGTAGTTGAAGAACTTTCTGATTCTGACTTTACACGTCTCTCTTGCTGTACAGGTGAACTTTGAGAGCTAGAAGATTCTGACTTTACAGACTTGGGTGAACTAGACGATTTCTCACCCTCGTCCTCAGACTCAAATTCCTCAGCCTGTTCTGGAACTAATACCTGCTCGGGGGCCTGAGTTTCATTGTTACTGTTCACCACATCAAATAGTATGTCAGGATTTCCATGAATTTTATTCCAACCATCCTGTTCACAAAATTCCGCACTTCTGCTGATTGTGATTTTTGTTTGATTGCCTTCTACATTCACAAATCTCCAACCTTTTGTGTTTGCTTGATAACCACAGAAAAACATTTCTTTAGATCTAGGATCGCCTTTCCTACGTTGTGCCCTAGGCACCAGCACATAAGCACGACATCCAAAAACTCTTAGATGATCAATTTTTGGTTTTTTCCCAAATAGCATGAAGTAAGGAGTGTTGCCTACTGTGCTATTGTACACTCTGTTAAAAGTATAATTCGCATACAGTGCAGCCTCAGCCCAAAAACGCTGTGGAAGTCCAGAATCAAACAGCAAAGCAGC